AAGTTGCAATTTGGGTACCATTGGCTGCATACAGTACAAGTTTATTAAGTTGGTGAGCATTTGTTTTAGTTCTCGGGAGCACTGATATGTCAGCTCCAGTATCTACTAGAAAACATAACTGAGTTGAACGATCAGCCAGTACTATTCTGTCGATGTGGCGGACATTCTGTTGGCCAGCAGAAGTACAAGTCCACCCATTTAACCGCCCATTTAGTTTCCCGCTTGTTCAAAAGTGCATGGAGGGGAACACTTGCGAGCTTGAGCACCAAAATTCATATGATAAAAACATATGCCACTTGTGGGTTCTTTGTACTGCGTTCGAGTATTGTGACGAGATCGACTCCTGCTTCGGGCACGAAATTTATTACATGGGCCCTGATTTGATCGATTGTATCTCCGTGAAGCATGAAGACTTGTAGAGAGTTCAGATACTTTTTTGGTAAATTCAGCCACTTGTTGTTCGAGGGATGAACTGGAAGGTGCAGCATTAGCAGCACTGACATAAGCTGGAGTAACAAGTTCATTAATTTTGTCAGCCATTGCTGCTAAACGGGTTAGATCTTCATTGGAAGCAGCAAGAATTATTTGTATGTTATTAGGGAGACGCGAAAGCCATAGTGACTTCAACAAGTCGTCACTAAAATGGCTTCCTGCCAGATCACGCATTCGTGACAGCAAGTATGAAGGTCGCTGATCTCCAAGTTCAAGTCCTTGTAGTAAAGTACGTATTTTTGAAGATTCACTTTCTGAATAGATTTCAATGAGCCGCTGTTTCAGTTTGGAGTATTTATCACAATCAGGTGGTTTGAGAATTAAGTCATGCACTGAATTCAGAATATCAGACTCAATTGCTGCAACTACATGGTTGAATTTTGTAGAATCCTCACTAATGCGAGCGATAGAAAATTGTGCTTCGATCTGAGCGAACCACAATGAAGGATTATTTTTCCAGAAAGGCGGTGGCTTCACCGCAAGGCGTGTGATTTGTGGCTCTGGTGGAATATCGTCGGGCATACTGATAGATAATTTTCACTTTAATTAATAAACACTTAACAGCACAAATATTGTAGGATGAGGATACACTATTGATATTTTACCATGATATCAATAAATATTTTAACCGTGCAGAAAAAATTTACGTAACGATACACACACAAATAAGACAGGGTCAGCAATTACACACACAAATAATATTTTACCGAAATGCATTTGAAAAGAAACCCCTATTTGAGAAAAAAAATGATGCGTTCATTTTGTATTGCGCACACACAAAATCACCACTTCACACTGCTAAGGCACTTTCGAAGGAAAATGGAAATCACTCCTGTAGCACATGGGAAAAAAATTCACTACTTTCGAACACTGAGGAAAGAATTTTGCCGTAGCACGTTGCAGAAAAATTACTGATGTAGCACATTTAGCGAAAATCACTATTGTATCACATTTGTCACAAAAGTTGAATGATCGAAGAATTATTGCACAACTGGCGAAGTCAGCGGAACGGAACAGATCACATTGATGATTTGCTGAAGCTCCTTGCGATGATATGCACGACTTTGAAAAAAAACACAAGCAATATATATCAATACTTCTAGAAATAATTGAAGGGGTACGTTGTAGCATACGTTTAATGTCCATATTCGTTGTTATTTTTAGTCAGTTCTTCAGAATGCCTTGGATGCACGTGGCTTAGGGTCGTTGAAAATTCATTGTCAGTAGCGGGCTCAGTCAAAAGGTCACCACTTTTGGTGGTCGTGTGCTTAATGCATGATATAATTAATGAAAATAAGAGTTAGCAATCTCCTATAACAAAAGAATATATTAAGTACTAAATTACAATTTAAATTACATTGCAGAGATCAACGCTGAGCTTGGAACACAATTCATGCTACCGTCGTGTACAGTTGTCTGACGAGAAGTCTGAGTGAGTAATGACGTCGCTTTGCTGCTCCGGTTAAGAACTGGATTTTACACGTGGCGCCATCTCATGAATAGAAGTTGAAGTATCTGTCGGAACGCCACAAATCAACCCATGTAAAAACAATTACCATTTAGCTCCATTAACTGGCTTTTAAAAATTCAAATAAATCGTTTCATTTTGATGTCACGTATACACGACGCTGGGCTCATAGAAGCAGAATCATTGCGTCGCGTATACGGGACACTGGGCTGGTAGGAGTGGAAAGTGACACTGGTCCTGAACGGGTTAAAGAGTTTGCTGTTTGATCTCTTTGTGTGAATTATAGAATCAAAAGTATGAGCATTTTGGATATTAATTAAAATATTATTAGCATACCTAGCACTATAAATGAAATTTTTATAATACAAATATTGAATTTAATGGTAGCAATTACGAGGAAGCATATGTCTGGCATGAAATTTTGTGCATTCGTAATACTATAGAATCTCGATTGTCTGAGGTAATTGGGACATGACAATTGGATACTTGAAAACTCAATTAATAAAGACTAAATTTTAAATCATGCCAATGTTTTTTCTTACAAATTTCATTGAAATTGTTTATTTGAGGTTCTAAAAATAAATGCTTTAGTACTATGTTACATTTTAATAAATTTTTAATTAGTCAATAAAAAATAAAATTGGTGTCCTTTGTTAAACAAATAATTTGTACAAAATTTTATTTTAAGGCAGCCCACCAGCGGCCGAGCGGTAAAGTCGCTGAACGCTGGTAGTTCGGTCCGAGGTTCGAATCCCGCGAACGGGCTGGCTGCATAGGCGTTTTCGTGGTTTTCCCCATGTGTAACGTGTATACGAGCCAGTTTCCCTTAGAAAGTCCTCCACGAAGGCATCCCTCCTCTTAGGCAGATAGCCCTCGAGGCTTTGCCATAATCACACACACACACAATTATTTTAAGGCAATAAATATTAACACACACACACACAAAAAAAGGAATAAACAAACTGTATCAAAATTTACACAACTTGTGAAATTTTGTGAGATTTCTTATATGCATTTTTGTAAGACATTATACTTTTTTTGAAAAAAATCTATTACCCTATTTTGTGATCTATTACCATATAACTCTATCAGCTGCTGCATAATCATGCCATATTTCTGTCAACAAAAGATCCACAGGAGAAGTATCAGGATGTTGCTCTAAAAATTGAATGGCTTCTACTGAAGTCTTCAACCATGGATGATTTTCACATTGTCCATTACTGTTTCATCATCCTCAGCATCACTTTTATCACTGAAGTTTTAATTGCTGTCTGTATCTACATTGTGAATGAATTATTTATCCTGCAAAATCTGAGAATTGAATTTGATGCTCATTGTTTGGAGCATCAGGATTACCTTATTGTTTACGTTTTTATTTATTTATTTATTTTTGAGGTGCTCGTTAAGAATGTGTGTCTCAAAGGAAAAAAAAAGTGTTAAGTAGGCAACTCGAACTGACATCTTTTATGCACCAAGCTCTACTGTTGTATAAGTCATGTTTTGTGCTGTGTCAACAACTTCTAAATTATTACCTATATAAAGTGCGTTTTTAGCTTCTTTCTCGCCAACTAGAAAAACTCTGAAGGGAAAAAGAATGCGTGTTGAAGTTTAACTTGTATTGTTTATAAAATGCTGAGAATGCTGAAACATTTATTAAATAATGGTAAAAGATATTCATAACACAATGGTGTGCAAAATTTAAATACGAGACAGGTTTTTGAATGTAACATCATGCAGAAGATTGACCCAGATGACACCATAAGTTCCCCAAGATGTGGAAATATCAGACAAGTGACCAAACCCATCAAAATAAGTAATGAAAAACACTTTATTGAAAAGATAGTTCTGAGCACAATGGAGAGAAGGCAGAAACATTCATGTAGCAGACACCTGGCAAGAAAAATCCAGTCTTAAGAAAGGAATGTGATCACCACTGACTGATTAGATGATTCACTGATTGATGCAGAAATTACAATGTCTGTCCATGCTGAGGACAAGGCTGTCAAGGAGCTGTTGAAGCATCATGGCCAGTTCTTTTTGTAGCTCCAGTTTCAGTTACAAAATCACTGCTGATGGCTTGTCACATGTCGCCAAGCATCTCCCAAGAAGGTTTCACACATGTTCTATAGGATTTAAGTTTTGGAATCTTACAAGTTAATCCATGCACTGAATATCTTGACTCTCCAAGAGCTCTGCAACAGCTATTGTATGATGAGGTGCAGCATTAGTTTGTATGAATAGGAAGTCTGGACCCACAATGCCTCTAAACAGATGCACATGAGGCAAGAGAATCTCATTATGATAGCGGATACCAGTGACTGAAACTTCTTGGGAGATACGGAAGTCATTATGGCTATCAAGCATGATACCACTCCAAATGAGAACTCTGGCACCTCCAAAATAGCCCCTTTCAATTTGGTGAAAGCTCATTAATGTGCAATAGCTTTCACTGAATTCCTGAGTATACAGTGCCTATGTATGAAACCCGTTCACCACTGCCCCCTTAATTCACGTATCATACATACACATGCCCTTCTGTACCGGTCCCAAGTCTATCCCTTGATTGGTCCTTCCATTCATTCTGTAGCCATGCTCTGCTTTTATGCTAATTTCTCTGCCCTGTCTGAGTGCACTAGAGTTAGTTTCCTTGACAATGGAAACTGCCACTCTCATGATATGGCCTTTTTACCATGTTTTTACAATTCTTAACAATTCTTATTTCTCAATGAAATTAATTAATACTGTTAAAAGTTTCATTAGGTAAGTTTTATTTTGGTATTAATAATATGAAAAGATTTTGCTTTGTTGTACATTTCAAATTTAATATATAGAATATAAATGCTATCATAAAAATTGCTTTTAATGTTTCGGTATTCCATACTAGAAAAAAAAAAAAAAAAAATTTGCCATAACAGAAGCTAAAGAATAGCAAATTTTGTTCTGTTTTTCTCTTTCAGAAAATAATGTTAATGCATGTGGAAGCTATTTTGTGTTTGATATATAATTTGATTTTTTTTTTTTTTTTTTAATGTGGAAATAGACACAGACGAAGAATACCAATGTTTGTTCCAGAATCATCATCATTGATACAAAAATTCACTAGTTGGCTTATTGGTCGAAGGCCTGAATTTATAGATCCACGTGTTGTTGCTCAGGGTGAAGGTAGAGATGGTAAGTAAATTGGTTAATATTTTTTAGTAAAATGCCTGGCGAAATAATATTATAATAGCTTAAATTCCCAGTTCCTGCTTTGGTTGCCCACCAGTGACAAAGTAAACAAAACTACTGAGCATTGTATTTTTTCATCTGTTCAAAGCATGTGATTGACTGAGATAACTGCATAGGTTCTTTGTGACTTTTCTTATATGTGATGTAAATATCCCTCAGTTTTAACCTCATTTGGTCAAAATAACAACCCAGAAAAAACATTCTTGATCTCTTAATGACATTTCATATTTGTGTAATAAAATGTATTTTATTTATAAAGTTAATATCATATGTATAATTTATTGAATGACAGTTTTAATATTTTTAATGAACGTAATTTATTTTTAGTAAATTTTTGGCAAATTCATGAAATATAACTTTTATTATAAGTTATCTTTACCTGGAAATAAAATATTTTCTTGTTACAGTTGCAACTAGTTGTACAAAATAGTGACTGTAAAGCCATAGGTGTATAGTCTACTTTACTGATTAAATAGAGTTGAGAATTGTTTCCTACTTGTTCTATAAATGATTCAAGAATGAAATTTCTGTGGTTGTTTTTTCATGAAATTTAAGCTTATAAAACTATCTTTTCGATGATTTGTGTTTTAAATTTTTAGTGTATTAAATAAGATTTGAATTTATTAGTGTTGTTAAATGTATACCTATGTAATTAAATTTGACACTAAAGGTAAATTCTCATGTAATTGGTTTATTATATAAAATTATTTATCAATTAATTATAACTCTTTTCTTTTTATAGTTACCTTAGTGAGATCACAGGGCTATGTCAATGTTGTGTTCAATGTAATCACCAAAAATTTTGAAAATTTAGGCTACAACGCTGGATAGAAATCATCCATTGGCATTTTGTCTGCAAAAACTGATTTTGTATGCAATAGAAAATTTTATAATGCAAATCTAATTTTGTATCTCATCTTGTATTTTTTTAGTTGTTAGTGGTGAGATTATTTGTTAAGTGATGTTTTTCGATGTTTATAAAATAGTGATTGCAGAACCTTAAGATTTTGATGTTGATAGGAAATGCCCTTAAAATAATTTATATTTATTATCAGGAGTCAGGTAGGGACAGGATTAAAAAATTATTAAATAAAAAAAGAAGAATGATAATTCAGTATAAAGTCAAGAATTCTTTTAAGAAAATAAAATAAAAAAAAAAAAAAATAGGGGATACTTATTTTATGTAGTTTGCTATTACAGTATGATTGCTATTACAGTATATTGTAATTTTTGGGCTGATTTACTTAGTGTTTTTAGTTTTAATGAAATTAATGTGTTGTATTCCTTGAGAACCATTTTTTTTAATTTTTATATTTATTTGTCACATATCAGATAGCTTTATTTAAATTGTGTGTTTCTGTTCAAAGAATATTTTTACCATTTCTGATGATTATTGTACATTATGTTAATAAGGGAAATAACATTTATCTACATTTTATAAATTTCGATGTGTGCAGCAAGTGTTTATAAACAGTGTACAAATTTGTTATGTGAATCATGTCCATTCCCCAGCAGCAGGGAGGGAGAGCCAAAAAACAACATTTTTTAAGTGTTAAAAACTGACAATTAAAAAATAATTTTTTGAGACACGTTTTAGTGGTTAAAGATCTATTCCCAATTGGTTCCAATTAAGTTTAATAATTTTATTTCATATTTTATATTTTAGACACACATGTATAATATATATGTAAATATATATATATATATATATTATATATATATATATATATATATAGACAAAAAGTAAGAAATTTACAACACACATTTTTACAAAAAACCTCCCCAAAGTGAACTCAATACCAATAAATTTCAAAATATCCTATAATATTCAAAATAAATTAAAGAAATGTGAAATTAAAACCTAAACCTAAAAAAAATATGATTTACACATGCACATATATATATTTTATAAGTTGAATTTTATTTTTATATTTAAAGCAAATAATTAAAATATGATAAAATTTGCCAAAATTGATGAAAATATAAATAAACTAAGTCATCTAGTTATATCAGAGTCTTGCAATTTATTGTATGTCTTATCCTCAACTGTAACTGTAAACGATTTATATATTTTAATCAGCTTTCCAGTATTTTATTCTTTTCTGCCATATTTATCCAGAAGCACATTAGAAAGTTTGTGTTTAATTCCTAGTCATTTTTACTTTATCCTGTGTCAAATGGGACAAATATGTTTATACATTAGCTGCAAATCATGATACATTATTAAAATATGATTTATCATATTCCATAACTTGTTTTCAAAGTACAAAACATTTTTCATTTAGAATTTCTATTTTATCCATGTTGAATAATAAAATATTCAAATATTTTAACCTTTTGATATGCTTGCATGATATAGATGCCATAGTATTGTATGTATTTTTCTGTATACTTTTTTTAATAATTTACTTTCAGATTAAGTATTTGATGTTAAAATACACTGGTGCCTAGCATAATGAATGTAATCTGCCCTGTGATGGCATATGTTGTATGAACCATTCATTATGTGAGATGTTGCTTCCCATTATGGTTATTATGGAATTAACACATTTCCAAGTCTACTTAAAAATCACAAAATACTGTCAATAATTTCAGAGAATATTAAAAACTAAATCAGTGCTGTAAATATTAGAGATTTGCTAATTTATTATTTATAAGAATATTTACATTTACTGAAGTATACAATCTCATAATTTTCTGTTTTAGTTTAATGAGTCTTCTCAGTTTTACACTGAAGACTAAAACCTTACCTGTTTTTTACTTTCTTGTGCCATCTGCATTCCATCTTATGGAAGGTACAGGTTTCAAGAAGTTATCTAAGAAGTTTAGAAGTTATTTAAAGTGATCTTTCTCTTCTTCAGGATAGTCCTGAAATAGTTCATGGTTTTGCCATTGAGCATAATTTTGTTTATTTTATCTTATTAGGATGTCATTGCTTGTCTGTTACTTAAATCTCTTCTCATTTCTAGTAAAATAAATTTTAACTTTAAAAAATATATTTTAGTGTAATTTACACCTCTTCAGGTGGTCATTTTAGTGTAATTTACACCTCTTCAGGTGGTCATTTTAGTGTAATTTACACCTCTTCAGGTGGTCCATGGTAGTTGCAGTTAGCTTGAACCGCTCTGTGTTCTTCTCATCACTGGAAGAAACCTTCCTTTGGTCTTCCTCATGTTTCTGGTCAAGAAAAGCTTGCAGTTCTTCATTGGTATTATTAAGAAATATATTTATTTGTTCAATCCTCTTCTATTTGCCTCTGTTTATCTACAATGCATTTTCTTCTCTCTGTGTTTATTTGCCATTAAACTAAAAGTGAAATAAAGTTATCTCAACATTTAATGTGTGATGGCATTTTTGTATTGTTCAAGTTGTGTTAATAAGTTTGTTACGCAGGATTTTTTTGGCCTGTGCATGCATTCATTATTCAAAATGTTCATTATGTGAGGCACCGCTACTAGAAACAATGCTTTCATTTGTTTATTATAAAGGACGGTTATTGTATGTACTTTGCTCTATAATTTGTTGTTTTTTTAGTCAGTTACAAAATTTTTTTTAAAGCTTAGTCACTTTATTTAGTCATTTTGAAAAGTTTAGTCATTTGCAATACCTGAGTTTTGAAAAGTTACCTGATCATGAGACACTACTAAATTTTAAAACCAAAAAATCTAAAAATAAAAGGGGATTTTTATTTTTGAAGTAATATTGTAGTTATCTGTGTTCGAGCACATTCAATAAGTATGTTTATGAATGATAACTTCTAGTGAATGATGCAAATGATGATCATAGAGTTTGTTATTTTTATTAATATGTAGTCTTTTATAATGTCTTATCATGTAAAAAAATTTTCCTTAAAAAAATCCATTGTTTTATTTATATGACATAATACATTAAATGAAGAAAAGAAAAAAAAATATTTCTACAATTTAATATTAAATGCTGCTAATATTGTAGTGTGAAATGTGCTCGCACAAAATTTTTGATACAGCAGTAATATTGAAATGACATCAGTTATTGCAGTAGAGCTTTATCATTCATTTCACCATGTGCCAAAGTTGTGTAAATTACCCTTAATTAATAATGTTTCAATTTTGATGTATGGTATTTATGCAGTTTACAAGCAGAATTCCTCTTAATCTCTGGGTTTAAAAAAATTAATTATGCTATTAACAAGCAAATTTATACATACTTTGATTCATAATAATTAGTTAAATTCATTTTAATGTCTTCTTTCAGATAAATTGATTTAAGGAACTTTTCATTTTTTTTTTTTTTTTTTTTTTTTTGTATTCTATGTGATTTTTCCTTCTTCCATTTCGGTTCTTTCTCAAGAATTTTTGCTTTATTTTTAGCTCCCTGTTAAATGTTTGAGTGAATATATTAGAAAAGCATATATTTTTAGCAGATTGAAAATCTTGAAATCACTGTATAAATTAAATGCATTTCATAAAAAATATCAATCCAAGACAAGAGATTTGGTATTTCTTTTGCAGTATGTAGTTGTGCCTTAGTAGGGTACATAAAAATCTAGTAGGATAATTGAAACAGTGCAGGCTTTTTCTTTTTGAAAAATAAGTGGAAGACATTTGAAACAATTTATTTCCCTACCTTTTTTCTTTCATACATATTAATTGGGCCCACCAGCGGCCAAGCGGTAACCGTCGCTGAACACTGGTAGTTCGGTCCGAGGTTCGAATCCCGCGAACGGGCTGGCTGCATGGGTGTTTTGGTGGTTTTCCCCATGTGTAATGTGTATACGAGCCAGTTTCCCTTAAAAAGTCCTCCACGAAGGCATCCCTCCCTTAAGGCAGATAGCCCTAAGGCAGATAGTGCTTTGCCGTAATTTAATAAACCAAACCAAACCATACATATTAATTTAAAAATAATCTAATCAAAAACAATCTTTTGCATGTCTGCTTACAACATATACATGATTTAATACTGCTGAAGGATGCGTTTTTTCAAGTCAACAGATTTCGATATTTATTGATCTAAATAATAAGTTTTGTTTATAAATTTATTATTTGAGGTGTTCCGTATATACCGCATAAATTTTGTTCATCACTCTGAGTGGACAAAATCTGCTTAAGGAATGATCGGTAATTTCCAAAAAAAAAAAAGGAAGAGAATGAAAAATTTTAACCTCACATACAGTGTAAGGAAGATACATTTTATTTTATTCAACTTTAGGGCTGGCTAAACTTAATTAAACTGTTAATTTACCAATATTAGCTTGTTTGGGAAGATCTTAATATTAGATAGTTAACCTGTTTATGAACGAAGTGTTTCAGTGAGAAAAACATAGTTGTTTCCTCTTATCAAGTTGAAAGCAGTTATTCTTGAAAAATACCAGTGCATATGTTCATTGCTTATTTTCTAAAAGTTACTTATAGTGTATGGCAGTAGGCTGCTTTTCCTAAAAATGTGTTCACCTCAAATTTAGTTTGGGCAGAAAGTTTCTTTTCAGATTTTTTATGTTGATATAGAAAATGTTCCCTTGATATTATGTTTTGCATAGGTCATCAAATCAGGAAAGATCACATGATCTAACTATGCAAAATTCCTGAAAGCAAAGATTCGATGAAAGATTGCATTTGGTATGGTGCTGAGAGAAACTGTTATCTAGTCTGATAGCCACTTGTAAATTCCATATGGAGATATAAGTTTGCTTTCAAATCAGAAGCACTTCCATGAGGGCAAGAAATCTCACCCATTTTTTTGGAATAAGTGCCTCAGTTAATTTATATATATTTATCATGGTTATTTACATTGCTGTATTTATCATCAGAGGGTCTTGTCTTCTGAGGATACAGAGTACTGATTCTCAAAGTTATAAAATTTTGAAGCATAAAGCCATTAACATAATTCCATTATTGATGAAAGTATTTTTTAAATACTTGTGAATTATAGAGTTTGTGAAAAATTATGGAGCATTTGTGAGGACTGGGAATTAATTTCAATGAGTTTTGGTGAAATCTGTTTATACGAGAGTGGCATAAAGCAAAATTGGTGTAATTTATGTTAAGTAAAGCTATTTCTTGGTATTGGTTATTGACCTGCATCTGTTAGTGAGTGAATATCCAGAAATAAAGGCAGATTTGTGAGATCGCGCAAGTCGTGTAATCACAAGGGTCTTCCAAATTATTCGTTAATTTATAAAAAATAATAAACAAACATATTTTGTGTCTTAAGGTGAGAGATCTCAAAAATTCAGATACTCCCCACTTCATTACTCCTCCACTGTTCATAAGTGATATATGGTGTTTTTAAATGTAGAAGACATGCCTTTCTAATGTGAGCTTTTCGCCCATTATAACTCTTAAATATTGAACATGAGAGTGGAAAGTACTGCGCTTCATTGTTGGTGGATATGATATTTGATCCTTTGAGTTTTGTCTAGCTATGGGGGGGGGACATACACTGACACCTTCCATTCTTAGTCCAAAGGGGCTTTGTCCCCGAGGGATTGTTGTTTTCGTTTTGCGATTTTGTGTCGAATTACTCTGAATATCCGTTTCACTTTTCAAACTGTTGCCACCAAATATTATAGCCCTGCATTATATTTGAAGAAATTCAATAATGTAGAATCTGCATAAATGTATGTATGTTTCTAGCATTGTGATAAAACAATGGTACCTAGAGCCATCCAATTTTGAATGACGTAATCCTACTGCGAATATGGG